GGCTTTCAAGACAGCTGTGGATCACTGACATATGGAAAACAAATGTCATAAAACAGCCAAGATCTCCTCAGCCCTTGTGTGACTGCAGCAGACTGTTTACTGGCAGTTGAGTTAAAATGTATAAATATTTCTGAACGCTTTGGTGTAAAACAATGTAGAAGATGATGTGTACTTCATTGCTTTCTCTGTCATCTTCACCCATGGCCTCCTCTTACCCCAGCTGTCTGCGTCTGCTCTCCCTATGTCATTCCTTCTTCTCTGTCCTCTTACTCCTCAGTCATGTGACCAGCAACATGGCATTGCAAATACCAATCTCTATTTGTAAATGTCAACTGTAGGTGACTCAACAATCTACATGTGCCTGTGGGCTATTTTATTGAAGGTGTACCACTTTACGCCCCTTCCTTCAGTGTTTTATTCTTATAAGCCAAATATTAAATAGTTACTTGAAATGAAATCATTCCGACTGAGTTGAGCACACAAGGTAATATGAGGACTTTGCTTATGAAGAGTGATCTGAGAGCTTGTCTTGGAGCTCTGTTACTTTGCCTCAGTTCAGATCAGTACTCCCCAGGTCTATGGAGATTAAACTCTTTTCATCTCAGCCATAGAGCCAGTGCCAGTCTCGGGACATACGACACACCGGGAGACAGTTCCCGTCTGAGTCGTCTACTTCAGCGCTGAAACACGAGGCCCCTCTTTTCAGAGTGCACCATTCAATGGCTCCCTGTCTGGGAAGCCCTAGTCTTGTGTCTGATTGCACATCTCGCTCGTTAGATAATGCACCCCATTCTTTTGATAGGTGCCCTGGTTCTTTATGTACCCTTGCTCAACTTTATGCCTGTCTTGGGTTTGACATGCATGGAATTTGATGTTTTAGGGGGAGAGGTACCAGGGCAACAGCACTGTGTTATTTCTCAGCACAGTACTCGGGACACATAAAATAACTTCAACCTGTTAGTGCTCAGGTTACATTATTTTCCATCACATGGTCTTTTTTAAATGGCATGGGCTTTGTATCATCGTGATGAAGACAGATAAAATACATTTTATATGCACATTTTGTGAGCCACATTTTTTGCCATCTCCATGATGCATTAGTATTTCAATATGTGTATGGTGATTGAAGAGCTCTGAGAAACCAGGAAACAAAGTTTGAGCCACATTTGTGAAAAATGATCAGTTAGGATGTGGCAGTAATGATTTATAGTTCTACATTACTATTAACTGCATAACTGGTAACTAACTAGTAAATCAGCTGCCTTTCCCCTGTCCACACAATACTAAAACCATACCTTCACATTTTATTAGATGAGAAGACCAGACTCTCTTGCATGAGAGCTGTAACCTACATCTCAATGGAATGCACTCACTAAACCCACTGTCCTCATCAGGGGTTAACTGAGTGCCGTCGGAAAGTATCATGACCTCTCCTCTGGCTAAACATACAGCAAATGCCCACGTCTGGATGCAGCAAACTGGGATTACTGCATAAGATGCTGGTGACCTAGTTTTTTGGTGTTTTGTTTTTAGTCGGAAGGGAGCCGTCATTAGAAATAAAAGAGGCAGTTACAAAAAGGACATCACGGCCCGTCTGGGATCAGCATGTACTGTGGGCAGTCATTTGGGATTTTTAATTCCGGAACAGGTTCATCTTTTATTTACAAACCAGCAGGCCATGTGAATGCATACACATGGCTCCATTCAGTTTCACTGGCTGAAGACATATAGGCTTTTCAGGAGTACGGCCCTGTTCAAGAGAATAATGTCCTGACTCTTAAGAATTTGGCTATAGACATTTCAAGAATGTAATAGTGTGCTCATTCTGCATACTGCGCAGTGGGCTATATTGACACTCCTTGTAATAAATAATTTTAAGTACTGAGAAGGACACTGAGATATGGACTGAAGTCGAAGATGATGATGAATGTCTGCCAAAGAGAGACATGTCTCAGCTATCTGACATCTCTGTGAGAACTAGATAAGATCAACAGCAGTTTAACACCACGTCACAGATCAACAAATTCACAGCAAGAGAGATGGAGGGAGAGAGAGAGAATATGTGTGGGGAGGGTAGCGTTTAATGAGAGGGCAGCGAGTAAGAGAAGCAGATTCGTGGCCTCACTTCATATTCTATGTTGTTGTACTAAGAATGTTGTTATATACAGTTGAAGACAGAAGTTTACATACACCTTAGCCAAATACATTTAAACTCAGTTTTTCACAATTCCTGACATTTAATCCTAGTAAAAATTCCCTGTCTTAGGTCAGTTAGGATCACCACTTTATTTTAAGAATGTGAAATGTCAGAATAATAGTAGAGAGAATTACTTATTTCAGCTTTTATTTCTTTCATCACATTCCCAGTGGGTCAGAAGTTTACATAAACTCAATTAGTATTTGGTAGCATGGCCTTTAAATTGTTTCTTAGGTCAAACGTTTCGGGTAGCCTTCCACAAGCTTCCCACGATTAGTTTGGTGAATTTTGGCCCATTCCTCCTGACAGAGCTGGTGTAACTGAGTCAGGTTTGTAGGCCTCCTTGCTCGCACACGCTTTTTCAGTTCTGCCCACACATTTTCTATAGGATTGAGGTCAGGGCTTTGTGATGGCCACTCCAATACCTTGACTTTGTTGTAATACCTGAACTTTGGAAGTATGCTTGGGGTCATTGTCCATTTGGAAGACCCATTTGCGACCAAGCTTTAACTTCCTGCCTGATGTCTTGAGATGTTGCTTGAATATATCCACATAATTTTCCTTCCTCATGATGCCATCTATTTTGTGAAGTGCACCAGTCCCTCCTGCAGCAAAGCACCCCCACAGCATGATGCTGCCACCCCCGTGCTTCACGGTTGGGATGGTGTTCTTTGGCTTGCAACAACCCCCTTTTTCCTCCAAACATAACAATGGTCATTATGGCCAAACAGTTCTATTTTTGTTTCATCAGACCAGAGGACATTTCTCCAAAAAGTACGATCTTTGTCCCCATGTGCAGTTGCAAACCATAGTCTGGCTTTTCTATGGCGGTTTTGGAGTAGTGGCTTCTTCCTTGCTGAGGGGCCTTTCAGGTTATTATAGGACTCGTTTTACTGTGGATATAGATACTTTTGTACCTGTTTCCTCCAGCATCTTCACAAGGTCCTTTGCTGTTGTTCTGGGATTGATTTGCACTTTCCGCACCAAAGTACGTCCATCTCTAGGAGACATAACGCGTCTCCTTCCTGAGCGGTATGACGGCTGCGTGGTCCCATGGTGTTTATACTTGCGTACTATTGTTTGTACAGATGAACATGGTACCTTCAGGCGTTTGGAAATTGCTCCCAAGGATGAATCAGACTTGTGGAGGTCTAAAACATTTTTTCTGAGGTCTTGGCCCTTTTTCTTTTGATTTTCCCATGATGTCAAGCAAAGAGGCACTGAGTTTGAAGGTACATCCACAGGTACACCTCCAATTGACTCAAATGATATCAATTAGCCTATCAGAAGCTTCTAAAGCCATGACATCATTTTCTGGAATTTTCCAAGCTGTTTAAAGGCACAGTCAACTTAGTGTAACTTCTGACCCACTGGAATTGTGATACAGTGAATTATAAGTTAAATCATCTGTCTGTAAACAATTGTTGGAAAAATTACTTGTGTCATGCACAAAGTAGATGTCCTTACCGACTTGCCAAAACTATAGTTTGTTAACAAGAAATTTGTGGAGTGGTTGAAAAACGAGTTTTAATGACTCCAACCTAAGTGTATGTAAACTTCCGACTTCAACTGTATATATTTAGCTACATAACTGTAAAAACAGAATAAGCAGAAAACTGACCAGAGTTGACCTTTGTCCTGAAAAGGCTTCAATGTTAGCGTTGGGGGGAGTGGGCGTGGCTAATGGCGCAGTCTTAAACCGTCCTCTTGGCCGCAGAGACAGCATTTTGCTGTCTTAAAGCTAATTTCCTTCAATCCTACACATTTTGCCTAGTTTCGTGCAATCCTACACATTTTGTAATGGGGCTTAGAGAAAAAAAATTACAATTTCGAAGCTAATTTCCTGCAATTCTACACATTTTGATATGGCTTATGCGGTGTTCTTATGCTATCTGAGTGACTCGAACATTATAACAGTTTTAGATTCTCTGTCTAGTTTTTCTTTTGGTGATTGTTAGTTCTCAAAGATTATCTTATTTAAAAATACTTTTTTACATACTTTATATCTGGTTTACACTGAAAACGTTTTACCATCCCGAAAATTATTTTCAAAATTATATATATATTTTTTAATAATATATTTTTGAGTGGTGGCAACGATTTAGTAGCTAAATGAATATAACGAACACTGGTGTGTGTGCGCATGCATATGTGAAATGTGAAGCAATTGTGAGGAACCTCCAAGCGGGAGTGTGTTACAGTACAAAGGGGGTATATTTACAGAGGGTGGATGTGTGTGTATATTCATGGATGTGTGTGTTTACCAACACGCATACCAAACGTCATCATAAATATAGGGTGACAAATAGTTGGAGGCCCTTTGATGCAGTCTGTCGATTGATTGCTTAACATAATGTTGCATGTGTCGTCAACATCATTGTTGAGAGCACATCGGGTAAGCACTGGTGTCACTAGATAGCTCCCAAAAGTTGTTACACCACAATGTAAAGTGGCTCTTATCCAAGGTTGGCAGAAGAGTGAGACACATGACAATGTAAAAATAACTAATGTGACTGGGAGTTTTCCTGATTGTGTGTGGATGCATTCGTATTAGGAATTATTTACCTTATCACAAATTTTTCTGTTTTCTCTCCCATAGGTTCCCATTGAGCTGCTAAAACAGCCCCCTGTGGTGTGAGAGGAGTCCCAGAAGCTGAGGATAAACATGAAGCAACACTGTGATGTCATCGCGGCTGGCCCATGACACTTAAACTCTATCAGCCCTCTCCACAAACCACTCGCCCTCCGTTACCATACCGGACAACCAGTCAGTCACCCATCATCTACACACCGCTACAATACAATGGCCAGCAAGAGGAAGTCAACAGTGCCATGCATGATCCCATCCAAAAGCAAACACATGCGTGAGGAGATCATACTTGGCTGCCTCCCTGAGCTCCTACCCACAATCCCAGAGGACAGCATCCTCAGCATATCTGGAGAAGATGGACATCATTTTTACCATGATTCCTCCAGACCTGAAGGGGGTGACAGATGGCAGAAAGGGGGCACCTACAGCTGCCCACCTTGCTGCTTTGAGTCCAGAGATCTGAACTACTTTTTGGACCACCTGCACAACTGCCACATAGACTTTAGGGCCCTGCCCAGTTTCTACTGCCTGAACTGTGGTGTGTCAGTGGTCAGGTTTGAGGCCCTGGCACTGCACAACTCTAAAGCCCACCCTGGGGTGTCGGGGGGCTCTGTCACTGCGTCCCTGCATGTCAAGAAGAGCGATGGGGCGACTACCGTGGAGCAGAGCCTGTTCACAACAAATGGGGAGGACTCTAACGATCCTGCAATCTCCTTCACTAAAACACCTATAGTGAGGATGATGAAGGCCAAGGGACAGCACAAGAAGATTGTAGTCTCCCACACAGTGGAGCTGCGGAGGATAGACACTGGGAAGGAGATGGAGCGGACAGACCCCACCATGTTGACGAATGTGCCTAAGCTACAGAATGGGTCTCTCAGTGGGACCGGTGGCCCTGCTATGTTGAGGAAACCTGTCACTCATGTGATAACAACAACAGTGCCCAATCAAGCCTATCACCAGCACAGCCCTCCCACCTTCTCATTCTCCTCCTCATCCTCCGATTCCAGCAGAAACCTCCCAAAGGTGATGATTCCCCTGAGCAGCATCCCCACCTATGATGCTGCCATGGACACCAGCAGTTTTCTCAAGACTTCCTTTGGCAAGTTCCCCTACCCGACCAAAGCTGAGCTTTGCTACCTGACCGTGGTCTCTGATTGGCCAGAGGAGCTGATCAAACTCTGGTTTACCGCCCATAGACTCAAACAGGGGATCAGCTGGTCCCCTGAGGAGATAGAGGAGGCCAGGAGGAAGATGTTCAACACGGTCTTCCAAGGAACAGCACCCCCAAAACAGCCTCCCAAGCAACGGCACAACAATCATGTCCATGCCCAACCTGCTCCAGTGGGCTCCAGCCACCAGGCTGCCAGGGTGGCCCATGACAGTGTAGTGAGAAGGCATACTGGAGTCATAGCCACTTCGGCTAGCATTTCAGCCGCTGGTCACCCGGTCACCACTAGGGTCTCTTATGCTGCCCCAACCATGATCCCCCCGAAATATCAGACAGTAGTCAGTAGAACAACACAGGTAGTGGCCAGGAACACTATCCCCACTACTGTGCCCAGCCTGGAGTCTGACAAGAGTGTTGCGCTGAGGTTGGGTTTGGTGGGAAACAACAGTTGTGTCATTAGCACCAGCAGCAGAAGCAGCAGTAGCAGTAGTAGTTGCAGTAGTAGCAGCAGCATCAGCAGTTACTCCTCCATTAGTAGTGACGGCGGAGACCATGGCACTAGGAAACCAATCAACAACAGCAGTTCCAGCAACAGCATCGTCAGTTGCTCCTCCAACATTGGCAATAATAATGATTGTCTCACTAACAGCCATGACAAACCAAACAATCAAAGCAGCAGACATATTAGCATACCGTCTGTCTTGGAAGGCTTCAGCAGCATCAGCAACAAAAGTAAAGTGATCATGAGTAATACCAGCAAATCTAACGTTATCACCTATGACATTCATAGCAACGGCAACACAGCTAACCAGGATCATTACCCATCAACAAAGGGTGATGATGACAGTAACAACAACAATATCCACAAGTCCAACAACGGCAGTATTAGCAGTGGCTACACCAGCACTAGCAATAATGATAATGTCAACAACCTGAACCATGCCAGCAAAGCCCAAAACGAAAACACCAGCACAAGTGCCATTACCAAAAGCAGCAGTAGCAGCAGCAGCATATCTATCATAGAGGATGGCAAATGCACCAAGGAGGTTCCTATGAAATCTATGTCAGTCCTGCGGCAGCTTATCAAGGAGGAAGACCATTTTAGGGATGACAGGACCTGCCCTGAACTAAAAGTAGACCCCATAAAGATCAACCTGCAGAGGTTCATGGTGAGCGATCCAGCTGCAAAACCTGGTTCAGAGGCCTTCCCTCCAGAGCTCAAGTCTGAGACACATGTCTCAGACCCATCACACCCGTCTTTCTCTGCACCCTGGGGCAAGAAAAACCCCCGGCAGGTGCACCTTCTGAGGCAGGCATTCACCAGCACACGCTGGCCCAGCAGCCAGCAGTACGAGGAGCTGAGTATCATGACAGGCCTGCCCAAGCCAGAGGTGGTCCGCTGGTTCAGCGACAGCCGCTACATCCACAAGAACAGCCAGCTGAAATGGCTGGAGGGCTACCAGTGCCTACCAGCAGAGGGAGAGGAAGGAAAGGGCCACAGAGACCACAACACAGGGGCACTGATTGATCCCCAGGAGGTTCATAGGAAACTGGTGGAGCAGGAGGTGAACAAGCAGCTTGATGGAGGACCTGAGGGGCTGAGCTCAGGGCAGCAGGGATTCTGGTGGGGTGCAGACACACAGAGGCCGCTGTTGAGTCCAGCAGGGCCAGAGGAGACTGGGGAGAAAGAAAGAGCTGTGGAGACAGGGAAGGCCGAAGGACTACACGGTCACTGGGCAGAGAGGGAGGATGACCACCAGCAGCCAATTACCAGCCAGACCTTTGGGGAGCAGCAGACAGAGCCCAGGTGAGTTCTATCAGTTACCGTTGTCTGATGAAAAGGACTGAATCTGTAATCACCTCATCTACCCAAGGCCCCGCTCATTCGGCTGGATTAGGCCGCTGCCTATGGTGGCAGATTGAAGAGTGCGGGATTTGAGCTAAACTGACCAAGACGCACCTCCAACAACACATAAAACCTCACATAATTCTGCCCAAAAACAATGACAGTTTCTCTCAACCAGTGTAATATGGGCTTTTTAGGTGAGCGCTGATGCCACCCTGTGATAAGCAGTGCCCACTTTGTCCAAAAAATATTTTGCGTGTCCATTCCCAGCGCGCCTCTCCAGGGTGCTGTTGGAGAGACGCATCGCTGCCGCTCTCCACCAACGTTCTGTCAAAAAAACCATCTAACATAAATCATGTAGCAGATATAGTATATGGTAGAAAGAATATGTGGCCATTTCTGTAGCCTACAGGCTAGAGATAAAGTGTATGACAATGTAATGAGGTTTCTCCGATCAAATAGCCTAACCTAAATGGCACCCAATCAAATACAAAATGTGCTGACATGTTAAGAAACAATATATCCTAAAAACAGGACAGGTCAAAGTAAAATGGACAATATGGAATGGATAATCAGGCTACTCACAACTGCTTTCCGGGAGTTTCACCCCGTGGGCTAAATTGTCATGATCAGTGGTTTCAAGTCTGTATCTGTACATTATTGACGCGCTGATCATAGCGAAAAATTACATTGCAAATCGGCACAGGATATCTCCTGATAAAGTTGGGTAGCTGATATTCAGAGCTTAAATAGACAAATGTATTAGTCACAGGAATCGGGACTAATAAAGCCAATGCAACGGCCTGTTTTATGTATTTTCAACGTCTGATTTTCAACCTGATTTCAACATCCGGAAAATACAGTGGGGAGAACAAGTATTTGATACACTGCCGATTTTGCAGGTTTTCCTACTTACAAAGCATGTAGAGGTCTGTAATTTTTTATCATAGGTACACTTCAACTGTGAGAGACAGAATCTAAAACAAAAATCCAGAAAATCACATTGTATGATTTTTAAGTAATTAATTTGCATTTTATTGCAAGACATAAGTATTTGATCACCTACCAACCAGTAAGAATTCCGGCTCTCACAGACCTGTTAGTTTTTCTTTAAGAAGCACTCCTGTTCTCCACTCATTACCTGTATTAACTGCACCTGTTTGAACTCGTTACCTGTATAAAAGACACCTGTCCACACACTCAATCAAACAGACTCCAACCTCTCCACAATGGCCAAGACCAGAGAGCTGTGTAAGGGCATCAGGGATACAATTGTAGACCTGCACAAGGCTGGGATGGGCTACAGGACAATAGGCAAGCAGCTTGGTGAGAAGGCAACAACTGTTGGCGCAATTATTAGAAAATGGAAGAAGTTCAAGATGACGGTCAATCACCCTCGGTCTGGGGCTCCATGCAAGATCTCACCTTGTGGGGCATCAATGATCATGAGGAAGGTGAGGGGTCAGCCCAGAACTACACGGCAGGACCTGGTCAATGACCTGAAGAGAGCTGGGACCACAGTCTCAAAGAAAACCATTAGTAACACACTACACCATCATGGATTAAAATCCTGCAGCGCACGCAAGGTCCCCCTGCTCAAGCCAGCGCATGTCCAGGCCCGTCTGAAGTTTGCCAATGACCATCTGGATGATCCAGAGGAGGAATGGGAGAAGGTCATGTGGTCTGATGAGACAAAAATAGAGCTTTTTGGTCTAAACACTTGCCGTGTTTGGAGGAAGAAGAAGGATGAGTACAACCCCAAGAACACCATCCCAACCGTGAAGCATGGAGGTGGAAACATCATTCTTTGGGGATGCTTTTCTGCAAAGGGGAAAGGACGACTGTACCGTATTGAGGGGAGGATGGATGGGGCCATGTATTGCGAGATCTTGGCCAACAACCTCCTTCCCTCAGTAAAAGCATTGAAGATGGGTCGTGGCTGAGTCTTCCAGCATGACAACGACCCGAAACACACAGCCAGGGCAACTATGGAGTGGCTCCGTAAGAAGCATCTCAAGGTCCTGGAGTGGCCTAGCCAGTCTCCAGACCTGAACCCAATAGAAAATCTTTGGAGGGAGCTGAAAGTCCGTATTGCCCAGCGACAGCCCCGAAACCTGAAGGATCTGGAGAAGGTCTGTATGGAGGAGTGGGCCAAAATCCCTGCTGCAGTGTGTGCAAACCTGGTCAAGACCTACAGGAAATGTATGTTCTCTGTAATTGCAAACAAAGGTTTCTGTACCAAATATTAAGTTCTGCTTTTCTGATGTATCAAATACTTATGTCATGCAATAAAATGCAAATTAATTACTTAAAAATCATACAATGTGATTTTCTGGATTTTTGTTTTAGATTCCGTCTCTCACAGTTGAAGTGTACCTATGATTAAAAATTACAGACCTCTACATGCTTTGTAAGTAGGAAAACCTGCAAAATCGGCAGTGTATCAAATACTTGTTCTCCCCACTGTACGTATTTTAGACGTCTTTTCAATGTCATTTTGCTTACTGGGACTATTCTAGTTTTGCTGGTGGCAATATTTATGTCTAGGCTGCATATACCTTCATGGAATTTGATGATGAAGATAATTCTTCTAACGTTATCATTGCTCCTTGGCCATCACAGAATGTCAAAACTATACTGTTGATTTCTACAGTAGCTATATATTGCTCTGATATTGGATATGATTTATTTATGGCTTTGTAAACTGTAAAATTGAAGTTAAAGAAAAAATGTCAGTTATGTGTCTTTAGTTGTTACTGTGTTATGTCTGATGAATAAATAAATTAACCAGGGGAGGGAGTGTGGGTATTCATGCAGAGTGGCTTGTTCAGACAATCAAAGGTCTGTGTTTTAAGAAGCTATTTTTAGAAGAGTTGGAGTCTGGGCCATTGAATTATAGATTAAGAGAGAGTGCTAATATATGTGAATAAATCATGTCTACCGTCTTTTGTGAGTTGGCTGTTACAGAGGTTAGTCTCTGATTTCCTTGTATATTTTAACAGTGCTCATTCTAAAAATACATAATATAACATTTATTGTAATTTCATCAGAACAATATTAAACTAATGCGAGTCCTGTGTGCGTGTGTGTGTGTGTGTGTGTGTGTGTTTTCAGGGATCGTCTGATAATAGAGCTGCTTGAAGTGTGACGGCGTGACCCAAACCTACTGGGGGTAAAGGATGGGTTGGCTGGCTGGCTTTACAGATGGCCATGGTCTGGTGTGTTCATTATGACAGCAGATGTGATTGTAGCTGGACCATTGGACTGTAACTGTGAATACCCCCATATCCCCCCTCCTCTTCATCACTTCCTGCCACCCTCTAAAGAACTTCTCACCTTTTGAGTCCTGTGATGTTCAATCCTTTCTTCATTCTTCTTTGTGGTCGTGTGGGGAATGGGATGGTGCACATAGAGGGTGGTAAGCCGGATGAGACAGAGAGAAGACTAACACTGACTGGACAACTGACTTGAATGAAGGAAGATGGGATAATGAGATAATGTTTAGGGAAAGGGAGATGAATATGATTGAAACTGCACTAAAGAGGGTTTTTGTTGACTGGACAAAGTGAGCAGTGTCTAGGAGATGTTATTGTTGGCGTTGATATTTGTTCCTTTTCTTTAGCAACCAGTACTTCAGCACTGCCTTGAATTGTACTTTTCTCCGTTAATTGGTTTTTCAATTTTACTTCTTCTATAGTCACTGTAAGTCCAGAAGTAATTGAGCCTCTAGTTTTATTTACTTCTGTATAAATGTTGGTGATCACTCAACAGGTCAGCTACACCAGGGTTTCCCAAACTCGGTCCTCGGGACCCCAAGGGGTGCACATTTTGGTTTTTGCCCGAACACTACACAGCTGATTCAAATAATCAAAGCTTGATGATTAGTTGATTATTTGAATCAGCTGTGTAGTGCTAGGGCAAAAACCAAAACGTGTACCCCTTGGGGTCCAGAGGACCGAGTTTGGGAAACGCTGAGCTACACGCAAGAGACAATACAATGCACTAGCAGATAGGAATGCTAAAACCACACTGCCCCAGAATAAAGATATTGACAGAGCTCTGTCAAAATCAATACTGCCCTGGCTGAATCTGCAAACCCAATCATAAGAGAAGCCTGTCACGCGAACGTTGCCTTACTCAGTCTGTCCCATGCATTGATATGACCGGTCTGCCCATCACCTATAGCTTTCCAGCTACTGTGATGTTGAGATCAAAACAAGGTTCCAGTGCATTAAAGTTACTACTGTGCTGGTTTATATCTGTGAATAAAAAAAATATGCTGCTTCTGTATTCTTGTAAAAGCTTAACATTCAGCTGTAATAATATGAAATATACTGGCAAATGCTATAAAATAAATGTCAATTTGATCAAATGCCTTGGAGGACTCAGAGGTAGATCTTGTGCTAGCTAGAGAGCCAAATGAGGAGATCTTTTAACTCTTCTGAATTTTTCATATTAACAAACATAGTCACTACATGCATCTCTGATAAGCTGCTAAATAGCTAAGAACGGTGCTATACCATCCAAAGTGAAATTGGAGGTGATCTCCTACCAGCAGTGTATGCACTTGTGTTGAATGTTACCATTTTATTTTGGTTTGAAAAATAAAGATGAAAATAAATCTGGACTTACGGTGTTATGATCACTTTAACTTTTATGAAATAGTTTGATCATAAAGCACTGTTGTATCATCCTTTCTACACTTCTGAATCTTTCCAGAATAAATATTCACTGAGGAAGACGGTTTACTTGTTTTTACTGGCACATGAAATGCTATCACACCTGTAGAATGGTTATAGAACATGACATGTTTGTAGCGACACCGTGTTTATAAGCACGGATATCGACTGCCACTCGAGCATGCAGGGCTACGGGCCAGAAGGTTGAGGGTTCGAGCCGCACTCCCTGCCTGTTTCATTACACTGGTGTCAGAAGTGGGATTGAATTAAAGATATCATTGAATATTTGTAGTAGCGTATTAATTAATCTAGATCAATTGTGTTGAAGTAAGAATTGGCGAACGTGCAGAATTGGCAGGTTTTCCTTTTAAACAGTGTCATCTACTGGTAGAGGACAGTTGATACACTTTCTCAAAGTTAAAAACTACATGCCAACGCCCTACAAGAAAAATAAATTGGTGTTAGAAACTGAGCTCTTGCTTCGATGGCAGATTTGTCTATAATCATTCTTTCCAGCGTACTGTATTGGCAAGTTGTAATCAGAGCCATACGTACAAAAATGCTTGTGTATGTCTATGTCAATATGAAATGCTTGATCTAATGATAATCACTAGCTACTCTTGATATGGCATTTCACCTGTCCTTTGAAAGAATGCATAATAGTGCGTTTAAAGATTTACACATTTAGATACCTTTATCTTATAACACAATCCTTATATCTGCAGATGTTTGCCTTACTGGTGACATTTATTGAATAATTAAAAAGAACAGTATGCATCATAGAATGGCCACAAAGGATTTACAAATTCATTATCAGTCCAGTCAGCCACAGTTACTGCTCATGTTGAATAGATCCCTGCTAGGAAGCAATCTCTCAAGCAGAAATTGACCATCTTGGACACCTGCACTCATGTTATGCTATACAAAATCTTTCTTACTGTGCTTGACATCTGCACTTAACTGGTCTCACGATATAGTCATGGTCACTCTGCACACAGCAGTCTGTCAGAGGCTCAATTTGCAAGCTTAATCTTTTCATTAAAAAATGTTGAGGGTTGATAAAGAGATCCATGGCGTTAAAGAAGTCCAAACATGAGAGCCAGGCCTGTGCCAAACCCTGCCTGATCCCTCCTATAGCGACTTGTCCAAAATCAACAGGCAGTGGGGTGCTTCCTGGGGCCTCCTGTTCTCAGGGTAGACTGACAGCTTGTTATTACACTGGGTTCTGGGAACACAGGAAGCCTCTTGAAACATTACCACAGTACACCTAATTGAGAAATGTATGTTGAAAATTGACTGTCAGCAGGGTGAACATACTAGTGACGGATCCAACTTTAGTCAAGGAAGTTTGACACAAAAAAAATCCCTTTGGTGCAAGGCCACAATAATAATAATAATAATAATATGCCACAATAACACAAAATAGACCCAGTGTGTGGAGTTGAGTGGTTTTATTAATTTTAAACCTACAATGAGCATAAAACCTAAAACGTGATTGAGGCTATGCCAGAAGAGGGAGTTTACTGCTACAAACACCAACTTTCCTCAGACATGAGTGGAATAAAATTCATGGATAATTCACATTGAAACTCCTGTTAACGTTCTTTGTCGTCAATCTTTAACACACATAAAATGACTGCCTAAATTGTAACATTGTTTTTGGCAAAGTTGATATCCCTCACACCCTTCAAAAAAATAAAAAAAAACATTTTCCATGAATTTAAAATACATTAAAATACAGTCGTTTCTTTCAAGTAACTGATAAGGGAGTTTTTTCCCCCCCTTCTCGGAAACAATCAGAAATTATTAAATTAAAACCAGAGAGAGACAGGGCTATGCAGAAAGAGTCAGAATGCTGTCAATGCAAGGGGAGAAAAATAAAATTGGTTCACATTTACATTGAAAATAAGTCCCTGATATATACTGTAAAACAAATGATTCACATTCTGCCTGCTTAGGTAAATATTGACATGGGTTTAGCATTTCCCCCCTTGCTTGTCAAAGCATTCTTGTTCATGGTACACAATCGACATAGTCCAGTTTAAAACATCACACTCACCAAACACTTTCATGGTCTTTCCCCCCTCACAACTCTCATACCTAGAGCTCACATTTCATTTTCTCAAAAGGCGCATGGGTGTACATAAGGAATTCATTTGATTTAACCTTTTTCTTCTATTAAAATACAGAATCCATTAATATATGGGAGGGCTAAAAATACAGACCAAGTGAACAAAAAAATTAAATACACAAAAGCAGTCGTTTTTTTGTTGAATACAGTAGCTATAGGACCCCAGAGTTCAAAGTTCAGACGTCTTCAGGTCGTGCGTGTGGCTGAAGACGAAGAGGGACAAAAGGCAAAAAAGCTCATCCACTGGTTCTCATCCAATCATTGGGATTACCGTTTCACCTTTGGGTGTGGGTATAGTTCAGCCATCGAATCTGACCTCAGACCTTCAGACTAATCCACCTCGTCCCCCCTCCCGCCAGCTCATCTGTAATGGCCTATACACCCTGACCCCTGCTCTGTCCTTCCTTCCTTACTGCCTCACCATGATTGTTGAGTGCACACTCATTCTCCTATTTTCTTGTCAGGCTGGCCATCGGGTGTAATCGGTTAAGATAAAAACAAGTATCCAGTCAAATAAAATAAAAAAATTGCAAAATTAAAACCGCAAACGGGATTTAAAATTCATAGTCGTCATCTGCCATGTCGATAGCCCAGGCAAACTTTTCACGCTGAGTTTTGTTGTAGATCTTCTCGATAGGGATGCCCCACTTCTTACACCTAGGAAGGAGATGGCAGAAGGGGAAAGATATTAGAACGATCAACACTCCAGGAGTTTACGCACTCAACACCAAACCCCTCAACTCACTATCTACTTTTAACTAATCAAAGACACAGCCACATGCGTCACATTTACTAGAAGAACAGTGTGTGTGGGCCAAGGGACAAGCAATGCCGGGTGCAAGACGTTGTGCATGTTTGTCAACAGGTTTGCGGTCGTGTCTCACCAGGCCACAGAGATGCGTGGGTCCAAGTAGTTGAGTTTGGAGGTGCCTAGAGCGATCTGCTTGTTCTCCTCGCGGTCTGTCGCCTGCACCTCTAGCTTCATCAGCTGCTCCTCTAGCCTCTCCACAGCCTTCTTCTTGGTCTCCACAGCTCTGGGGGAGCAAGGGAGGGAATGGCTACTTCTACATCCCAGCACAAAAGTACCAGTGGATGCCTGAGGCAAATCATATCTTCATACTTACTTTCTGGACTTCTCGTCTCTCCGTACTTTGAGGTCAGCCTTGGCGCTTTTCACGTCTCCCTTTGCGTCTGAGAGCTGGTCCTTCTTTGCATCAATCTGATGGAAATATTATCAACGTTAATAATCTTGAAACTAAGGCCATGTATAGCTGGATTCTTATTATGTGGCTATAAAGATATTACAGAGGCCAAGTATTCCCAAAAGAACCAAGGGAAGAGTATGCGTCCAGCTGACAAACACATCTAAAAACAAAATCACTAATAAATCCTAAACAAAAGCAATAGTCTTTAGTTTCCTTTTTGTCCCATCCGCAAAGCGCCGTTAGACTGGCCGTGTCTCCTCCCTGTGACTCACTTTAGTCTGGAGGTTCTGCATAGACTTCTCAAAGGTCTTGGGTGGGGCTCTCTGATGGTTACACAGGATGGCCACGGCTCTGTTGGCCCTGTTGTACGACAGGATCTTGGCTGGAAGGTTCTCATCAGCTACAAGTAGAGGAGAAAATGGACATCGTTACAACTGTTGCTATAAACTGTACACCGTATGACAAGTCACCAGCTGCACACATATCTCCAACATTCTGGAGCCCTTATGTCTTCCATGCAGCACCTCCCAGGTCCCACCTCTGGTCATACCAATCCCAAAATATGTTTTGGGCAGGTGGTGCATTCTCAGACCCTCTGCCCCGGGTGGGCTCATGGCCGTGGCGACTTACGGCTGGTGAGCTCCTTCAGCTGCTGCTGCAGGGTGATGGAGGCGTTGTAGGTACGGAACACTTTAGCCGTCAGGCCGTCCATCAGCTCCTGAAGGTGCTTGTTCAGAATGGAGGTCTAGAGAGATGAGAGGATGGAGAGAATGCCACCATGAGAAAATATGACTGATGGCAAGAGGGGCAGAATTACGAGACAACATCCAATTCCCACGTGTGTCTTAGAGCATTTTCTAATACACTGCAATTCACAAGTAATGCGAATTGAAAGTCCTTCCTCACAAAAGTCTTGTTTTGTTCTTACATTGAGCCGGTCAAAGAGGTCGTCCTCCGGCTGCTTGTTCTCCATGAACAGCTGCAGGTTCTTGAATACCTAAGGAGGACAGTATATTTACAAATCGTAAGAATAACAGGGAGCAAGCATTCTCTAAAATGAGAGGAATCTGGAAACCATTGTAGTTCAACTACAGTGTAAATGGACAGAGAATGTTATGAACCAAATGTAAATTATTGATGTCCTTACCCTCTTCTCCACTGGGACTTTGTTGTAGTAGCGGATGGAGTCTTTACCCAGGAAGTCAAACTCCACCACGAACTCCTGGCCATCCTTCTCGGGGTACAGGTTGATGTGTTCCACCCTGAGGGAGCAGCAGCCCACTGTGTCCGCCGACTCCCCTTCCTCCTTCTCGTTACCTGCTCTCAGAGCCAGCTGGGGCACAGCACCACAGGGAACATGTTACAACCAAACTTGGAAGTGTGTGTGTGTGTGAGAGAGAGAGTGAAGAGCAGCAGTCTAACCTTGTCGATGAAGTAGAGTGCCACGGCTCTCTGTCGGATTCTCATCTCCTTGGACTTCCAGTCCTCACGGTACTGGTTCCTCAGCCGTTCCACACACTTCTTCAGATTTCGGGCCGTCTCATACTTCTGCCAGTCCTTTTCTCCCTGCGGACCAACACAAACCACCATTACAGCACTCAGGGGGAAGAGACGAGGCACAACGATGAAATATATACAGAATTGTTGCTAGACAGATTCATCTCTCTCCCGCCCATCCCGGAGGACCTGAGCCCTAGGACCATGCCTCAGGACTACCTGGCCTGATGACTCCTTGCTGTCCCCAGTCCACCTGGTCATGCTGCTGCTCCAGTTTCCACTCTTCTGCCTGCAGCTATGGAACCCTGACCTGTTCAAAGGACGTGCTACCTTGTTCCAGACCAGCTGTTTTCAACTCTCTCCCTCTACCGCACCTGCTATTCAACCTCTAAATGCCCGGCTATGAAAAGCCAAGTGATATTTACTCCTGATGTACCAACCTGTTGAACTTCTACAACCACCGTGATTATTATTTGACGCTGCTGGTCATCTATGAACGTTTGAACATCTTGGAGAAAAATCTGGCCTTAATGGCCATGTACTCTTATAATCTCCACCCGGCACAGCCAGAAGGGGACTGGCCACCCCTCAGAGCCTGGTTCCTCTCTAGGTTTCTGCCTTTCTAGGGAGCTTTTCCTAGCCACTGTGCTTCTACATCTGCATTGCTTGCTGTTTGGGGTTTTAGGCTGGGTTTCTGTATAGCACTTTGTGACATCTGCTGATGTAAAAAGGGTTTTATAAATAAAATTTGATTAATCAGTAAATGCAATGTCCTACAAAAACATCCCAGCGCTAGGCCTATACAGGCTAGTTGTTGTAGGCCTATTCACTGCAAATGGCGCACTCCGTGGGCACACCAGAACTATACACTACATTGCCTACTCCTAATGTAAAGTGGTGCCATGAACTCAATATTGAGAGGTGAGAAATAAATGATATACGCTCACAGAAAGCTGTGACTATCCTCTAACTATAACAGTAGTTGCTTTGAAAACGGTCTTTCCCGCAATTGCATTTGGCGCAACGGTCATATGGTTGTGCTTATTAGAATGCACCTTTCCAGACTCTCGACACTCAGAAATTGGAGTCGACTTGCAAGGAGTAGACTAACTACGTCATCGTCTTTAACGTTGGAAAAATGGCAGAGAAAGGGAAGCGACAGCAGAAAAGTCCTGTATGGCAATACTTTGAGAAGTTAAATGAGAAGGAAATGCAAACTTTGCGAGGTGGAATTGAGATACAGTAATGGTAGAGGTTTAATGCTTAACCATCTGATTAGGGACGCACCGTGAGACCCAAACCGTTGCTGGCAGCCCTGTAACGTTTACGTCATTTAGCAGACGCTCTTATCCAGAGCGACTTACAGCTAGTGAGTGCATACATAATTTTTTATACTGGCCCCCCGTGGGAATCAAACCCACAACCCTGGCGTTGCAAACGCCATGCTCTACCAACTGAGCTACATCCCTGCCGGCCATTCCCTCCCCTACCCTGGACGATGCTGGGCCAATTGTGCGCCGCCCCATGGGTCTCCCGGTCACGGCCGGCTACGACAGAGCCTGGATTCGAACCAGGATCTCTAGTGGCACAGCTAGCACTGCCTTAGACCACTGCGCCACTCGGGAGGCCTACTAAGGTTCTACTAAGCTATATGGAATTGTTTTAAGAAGGTCATACCTAGGATCATTTTGCTATTTGATTTAGAATTTTAAGACCCCTTGAAGTATATTTTTTTATATAAAAACCTTATTTGATGAAAATGTGTTTGGCCTTACTGCTATTAGCCCATACAAACGCATTGAATAACATTCACTACATGGAACAGATAGTCCCCCCCAAAAAAAATCTAAAGGAAGTTTGTTCTGAAGTGTAGGTCCCCCATCAGAGATAAAAGGATGATAAGGAAACATTTGTAAAAAAATATATATATATTTTCGGCACTAAACAGTCCCCATATATACACTTCCATTAATTGTTTTAACTGGTACCAGGGGACCTTCAGACGAGTCTTGTGAAGCCTGTGCGTCCTAGAGCAAAGCAACCGACATGTACGTGTCCGTGAGAGTTTCACCTTTCCACAGAGGGGTCATGTTATTGTGTAGCCCAAACTGTTAGGACGCTACATACAGAAGTTGTCAGATCGGCTGTACCGACTTCAGACGAGTAAAAACAGAGAACACCATCACGAGAGTCATCTTTCCATAGAGGGGGTCATAATAGTTTGTAGGCCAAACTGTTCGGAAGCTACAGACGATTTTGTGAGAAGACCGATTTTCGGGATGTCTCATGGTCTGACAAACACCACTCCAGCTCTTTCACCGCAGATGTGCGACATAGGCGGATGCGGTGGACGGACGCATCCAATGCAAAGAAATCTCTATCTTAAACTGACAGAATTGTATGGGGATTTTTTTTAAATTATGCCATTAGATTTCCGTGGGGCAGTTTAATAACCCTTTAGAACCCATAGCGGCTGTCGATGGCCTTTCTTTAAATTACTATAGCGGCCGCGAACGGCCTTGTTTTTCTAACAAAAATATGTGTCAATATTGCAAAATTAACTTGCTAACAACCTGCTGTCGTATTCGCGTGGTTGTCGTCCAACCAGAAACAGGGTATACTGTCATTTGACTAAGGTTTCTTTTAACTTCATTACGCAAAATGACGGCGCCGAAACGGACACTACTTTTCACTGTGAAAGAGGCTGTATTCATGTTGGTTGGTGATACGGATTCGAACACGTCCTTGCACTTTGAAAAGCGATGATGTCGAGGTGACTAAAATAAGTAAACCGCAGATATGTTTGGTGTTATCGATGTTTGATGGAGTGAAACTTGGGGAATAGCTCTCAGATTAGGAAGTCATGTCATGATAACTTGGTTGGTACAGGCGAGCACATCAGCGGTGGAGCTAGAATGAGTTATTTATTTTTATTTTTGTCATTTAGCAGACGCTCTTATCCAGAGCGACTTACAGGAGCAATTAGGGTTAAGTGCCTTGCTCAAGGGCACATCGACAGATTTTTCACCTAGTCGGCTCGGGGATTAGAACCAGCGACGTTTCGGTTACTGGCACAACGCTCTTACCCACTAAGCTTTCTCATGGAAATTGTTGCAGCGTTTAGCTGTATATAGTCAGCTAACTAGTTGGTTGTTTAACTAGCTAGTCTGTCAGGCAAGAAAAGCTGTGTAGCGGTAAATAGGGCTGCGCTCACAAAGCATCAACTTCATCTGTCACTTTCACTAACTAGCCATACAGACAACCAGCTAACTCACCACCAAAATTAAGGCTTGTCATTCGTTTTTATCTGTTGGGCTTAGGTTATGATTTGTCATGTTTGCTAGGTGCAGATATTCATAGGCTATACTTTGCCTCGTTTTCCTATTATTTGACAGCTTAGCTGTCATGTTAGGGTAGTAGACGTATGCGCAGTGGCGCTCATATGTTGAGTTCGTCATTTGTTTACATAGCCAACTAACAAGTTACTTGTTTTGTCCAGTTTCTACCGATGCAATTAATTAGGAAACTGTCCCAGCTTCGTAACTAATCAGCTAACATTGGCGAACTCTGTAGTTAGTCTGTCAGGCAAGAGTTGGTGTGTGTGCGCGCGCAAGAGAGAGAGAGGCATGTAACTATCACCATTTATTATGGAAACCCCTTATTAGGAAGAGAGTATGTGTATGGTTGAGAAAAAGAGGAAGGAAGAGAGATCGTGTGACAAGGGAGAGATTATGTTCCTGACCACAATTATCCTATTTGTTGCTCCTCTCCCTCTGTTACTCTGTTCCTCTAGGTCAGTGAAAGTGAGGGAAGTGATGTGGAGAGTCAGGGCTCAGCAGCAAACGGCAGGGAGGAAGAGTTAGAGATGATTGGAGGGATAGAGATGTGGAGCGAGGAAGAGGAGAGGAACATGGAGAGGAAGAGGATGAAGCAGAGGGAGAGTACAAAGCAAAGGGAGAAGAGAAAGCAGAGGGAGAGCACACACGCACACGAGTGTGTCTGCCCCAAGTCTCACCATTCACCCTTGTACCACACAGCCTGCGCCTTAAGTGACAGTGGCTTTGGAGTTGTTGTGTAATGGATTACACCAAGAAAATGGGCGGGGTTGACCATCTTGACCAACTGAGGAGCTATGACAATGTTGGACACACAGGCAAAAAAAAAAATGGTGGGAGTATGTGTTTTGGGGGATGCTCAACATTGCCATCATAAATGCGTACATTGTGTGGGGGACCCTGCAAAGGCCCCTTCCCAGAAACCGCAGGCGCTAGTCCCTGAAGACATTCAAAATGCAGCTTTGTGCATTCACTTTGTGATATGGCTACAGTGGCAGGAAGAGGGGAGCCAAGAGTGTGGCACCAGGTCGTGTGGACCGAGTTGGAACTCATTTGAAAGCAGGTGAAGTTTGAAGGGCGCAAGAAAGGGTGTGTGGTGTGCATCCGGAGTGGACGCAGTGCAAAGAGTGGGAGATGTGTAGAAACCTCCTTTGGGTGCTCTTATGTGTTCTGTGCCACTTTGCAGGATGTGGCAGTGCTTCCAGAAGTTCCATGACATGTTGTAGGCTAAATGCAAACACTAAAGTAAGAATCGTTGTCAATCAAATAGCCTAATTTGTGTGGGGTTTTGAAATACTTTCTGAATATTGTCCTCTGGTCACATTCGATAATTGTATTTATATGTAAATAATATTTATAAGTATAATATATTACACATTTTGAGTGAGTAATTTAGTCAAATGTACTACAATTGAAATGCTGTAGGGTTTGTTGTTGAGTGTTAATCATTTTTGATAGTGAGTGTCTTTACACAATGGAAGACTAAATGAGTGTTATTCCTATTGACATGAATGTGGTGTCATATTAAAGAAGAGGTTGTACTCTTTAAAAGTAAGTTCACTTGTAATTGTCATTTGTTCTTTGCTTTTGAGCCATGTCTGTTTGTTTGAAATGTGTGAGAAAATGAGCTTCATCTTGAACATTCTCAGTAATCTACAGCAGCATTTTTGAATTCTATTGGAGTCTAAAGGGTTAAACATTAATAAAATGTTTCCATTTGTCACATCCCTAGTTGCAAATGCAAGTGTTTTGGTCTCAGTTTTGAGCCCTGGCCATTGGCATCTCAAGTGAGAGTTCATTAAAAGTGACTAAAAGACCCCTCTCCCCCCTCCCCAATATCACTGCATCCACTATGAGCCATAATGAAGATGCCCCTACTAGTCAACCTACCTTGATTCTGGAGCTGGGGTTCAGCATGATGTACTTGATAGCGCCTTGGATGTTCTCTGTCCACGACACCAGCCAGGTCACCTTGTTGTCATGACGCACCTCCTTCCATTTGGTGCCAGGGGGAGGCTTGGGGTGCTTGGAGCCCCTGTGGAAGAGACAGACAAAGTCTTCAGATATACAAATCTGGTCCAAACAAGCAGGTCATGGGTCAATGTAATCAAGAAAAGGGCAAAGTACTTGTAGAAAACATTACATTTTCTTTCATTATGTTCATATTGCCACCTGCAACCAGGACCCCCTCACTCACTTGCTGCAGTTGACAATGATGTCCTCAGGGCGGATGCGGCGCTTCAGCATGCCCATCTTGGGGTGGTCTCCTCGGCCACGGAACAGACCCGGGGGCTCAATGCGAAAGTTAGCGATGCGCTCCTTGTGGTTATCCATGATGCAGAAGCCATACTCTTGGAGGAGGCGCTCGTTCTCCACTTTGATTTTCTACAATAAGCAGAGAACCAGAGTCAAACCAGTTAAATCTGGGTACAGTTGTTAGCACCCAGGATCAGCCTGAAGATACCAGGTATTACCATTCTCTACTGGGGGGGGGATATAAAATAAAAGCACAAAGTATTGTTCTAGCTCACCAGTTTATCATCTTTAGTCATGGCCTTTCTGGCCTCAGACTGTGCCTTGAAGTATTCCCCCATCTCATTGAAGTTACACTTCTTCAGGTCTGTGATCTTAGACTTCTCCTCTGAGGTCATTTCCTGTAGGAGAGGGGACAAAGTTAGACAAGTCATGGATCGTGTGTATGGAATTACTGTAACATAAAACAAATATATAGGAGAGAATTTTAAGCAATTAAATTAAAAACCCTATTTTTAAAAAGGATATATATAGATATATATATATATATATATATATGAGCAAAAAACATGGGGGATTGGAAGTGATGCAGACAATTACATTGATGGAAGTTACAATCTGCAATATTAAAGCTGATCTAGCCCCTAAAAAAATAAAAAATAAAAAATTGCAAACCCTTAAGTATACAGCCTTGAACATTCCCTACCTTTCTCCAGTCTTTGAAGAAGTTTTTCCGGAAGGCGTCCTTGGTAGTGTACTCATGGTCCAGCATTTTGGCAAAGAAGGTGGCCACCTCCTCAGCTTCTGGGCTGAGCTTCATCTGCTTCCCTACAGAAAGATTCCAACCGACTTGTTAAATCAGCCAATCCCACCATTTCCACTGAGCAACTTACACACATAGATAGAAAAAATTAGCAGCACTTGAGTATTAATCTTACCATCATAGAAAAATCTGACATTGCTGGGAAGAGGTTCATAAGGTGCTGCCATGACTGGGCCTTTATGTTCCAGAAACCTCCATTTGGAACCGTCTGTTGCCCTCTCCTCTTCCCACCTGTAGTCCAACAGGGTACAACAACATGGATTGATGAGAAGGAAATTATTGATGCACAACCAAATTACTTTGTCCAACAAAGATACACAGAACATCCATATTTTAACCATCACCATAATAAGAATTCCATAACAAAGAGCCACTCAGTCAGTGTGCCTTCACGGCAACTCTGTGTAGCAACACAGCTGGAGGGCAAGTATAAAACTTACCATTTCCACTTCTCCTCAGGCTCCTTCTTTGCTTTCTTTTTCCCGTCAGCAACTTCCCCTTTCTTGTTTTTTTGTGTCTTTTTGGGCTTGATGTCCTTTACAAGAAACAAACAGAAGAAACGCATGAGTCTCCTTTCTCTCAAGGGATCATTGAAATAGACCCAATATGAATCTAAAGATGCCCCTACCTCATCATCTTGTTTCCTCTTCTTTGCCTTCTTGTCCACTCTGTCATTTTCAATTTTTATTTTTTTGGGCTTGAATTCAGTTCTGAAAAAACAAAAACACCTTATAAAAGGAGGCCTGAATGCAATGGTAGATTCAACAACTATCTTGGTCTTCTCTACGCCATAGCTATACCAAAAGGAAGCTGGGAAGTTCTTGCAAAGCCAACAAACATTAGATTTCCAAACACAATTCGGACAAACCAGATGGGGTTGGTCTACACATGGCAACTAAAGCTAACAATCTTCATTGTACAAATGTAACAGGGCCAAAGACTGAGGAATAAATGGGCCAGTTGACAGAGGTCAGTCCAGATCTACTTACTCATCATGGTCACGCTCTCTCTTCAAGGACTTGGGAGAGTGGTAGACGTCATCATTGTCCGGCTCAGACTTAATGAGAGGAGGGCTGGTGATAGAAATCGAACATTTAGATTCATTGTGCATTTGAAATCAGATATGTAACCAGCAATTGTATGCAGCACAAATGTGAAATGTACAATACATAAAACTAAAAACGTACCTGGCAAAGCCATTCTCTTTTTCCTTCTTTGGCTTGATCTACAAGATGACAAGGAATAGTTAAAAACATGCATATTGTTAAGAGCTATAAACACAGGTTTTCACTGAAGACGAGACTGGACCAAAATTTGACAAACTGATTGGCATGTCTAAACCAAAATGGCAGCAATGCATCCATCTCTATTGGACAATTAGGGCCCTCACCTCCTTCCTCTTGTCTTTTTCCTTGTGTCTGTCTGTGCTGCCATCTTTGTGCTTAATTCTCTCCTTTTCCTTTTCTCTGTGCTTCTTTTCCGAGAAGTCCTTATGGTCACTGGAATTTGACAGATTACAAAAACATTACATCAGGATCAGTTACCAGCACGAACATACCAATAGGGAAATCAACTAACTAGAGAATATGTTTGAGGATTTCCTAAAGCAACAAAAACAGTGACTCTTGCCCTATGCCCATTCATGCACAACCTGCTTTTCAGACACATGACCATACAAACACCAACATTAAAGAGCTCGTAAAAGTAAATGTGTCAATTACTGCCCCATTGGCGCACTAGGTTTCCCCTTCCATTGCTAGACAGCCCCATTTACCTATGTAACCCTGCTTAAGAGTGGAGACTCATACCTGTTGCCATATTTTGATTTCTCACGCTCCTTGTCCTTCTTGTGGTCCTTGTGTTTGTGTTCTTTATCCTTGTACTTATCTTTATGCTTGTGAGAATCTGCAAAAGGAGAAAGTTATTAAAACGAGAAATAAAAATGGCTAAATAATGATGACCATAGAGCGCAATAGTAATGGCATTTTTTTATTTTTTTAATTTCACCTTTATTTAACCGGGTAAGCCAGTTGAGAACAAGTTCTCATTTACAACTGCGACCTGGCCAAGATAAAGCAAAGCAGTGCGATAAAAACAGAGTTACATATGGGGTAAAACAAAACATAAAGTCAAAAATACAACAGAAAATATATATACAGTGTGTGCAAATGTAGCAAGTTATGGAGGTAAGGCAATAAATAGGCTATAGTGCAAAATAATTACAATTAGTATTAACACTGGAATGATAGATGTGCAAGAGATGATGTGCAAATAGAGATACTGGGGTGCAAATGAGCAAAGATAAATAACAATATAGGGATGAGGTAGTTGGGTGGGCTAATTTCAGATGGGCTGTGTACAGGTGCAGTGATCGGTAAGGTGCTCTGACAACTGATGCTTAAAGTTAGTGAGGGAGATAAGAGTCTCCAGCTTCAGAGATTTTTGCAATTCGTTCCAGTCATTGGCAGCAGAGAACTGGAAGGAATGGCGGCCAAAGGAGGTGTTGGCTTTGGGGATGACCAGTGAGATATACCTGCTGGAGCGCATACTACGGGTGGGTGTTGCTATGGTGACCAATGAGCTAAGATAAGGCGGGGATTTGCCTAGCAGTGATTTATAGATGGCCTGGAGCCAGTGGGTTTGGCGACGAATATGTAGTGAGGACCAGCCAACAAGAGCGTACAGGTCACAGTGGTGGGTAGTATATGGGGCTTTGGAGACAAAACGGATGGCACTGTGATAGACTACCGTATTTTCCGCACTATAAGGCGCACCGGAGTATAAGCTGCAGCAGCTAAATTGAATGATATTGAATGATGTGTACATATATAAGCCGCACTGGACTATAAGCCGCAGGTGTTTTAATGTTTAATTACCATATGTAAGGGTTCGTGCACAGAGGGGATTGTCGGGAAAGAGACAAACTGTCTCGCTCTCGTAATGTCTGTCTGTCTTGCTCTCGTTCTGTCTCTCGTACCACTCTCGGTTCCACTTTTACGCGCTACCTGTCTCACTCTTTTCCGGCCTCCAGCTTTTCCTGCTGGAGCCCGCCGCTTAAAGGTGGGGGGCGCGGACCGGTCATAGAGCCCATAGAGTTAAAGTTGGTGGACTGTAACCTGTAAAATCCATAGATTTAGGAGGTCTTCTAGTGGCCGTTAGCTGTAAAAATCCATAGATTAGCCGCACCGTTATATAAGCCGCAGGGTCGAAAAATGGGGAAAAAAGGTGCGGCTTATACTCCGAAAATTACGGTACATCCAATTTACTGAGTAGAGTGTTGGAGGCTATTTTGTAAATGACATCGCCGAAGTCAAGGATCGGTAGGATAGTCAGTTTTACGAGGGCATGTTTGGCAGCATGAGTGAAGGAGGCTTTGTTGTGAAATAGGAAGCCGATTCTAGATTTAACTTTGGATTGGAGATTCTTAATGTGAGTCTGGAAGGAGAGTTTACAGTCTAACCAGACACCTAGGTATTTGTATTTGTCCACATACTCTAGGTCAGACACGTCGAGAGTAGTGATTCTAGTCGGGTGGGCGGGTGCCAGCAGCGTTCGATTGAAGAGCATGCATTTAGTTTTACTAGTGTTTAAGAGCAGTTGGAGGCTACTGAAGGAGTGTTGTATGGCATTGAAGCTCGTTTGGAGGTTTGTTAACACAGTGTCCAATGAAGGGCCAGATGTATACAAAATGGTGTCGTCTGCGTAGAGGTGGATCTGAGAGTCACTAGCAGCAAGAGCGACATCATTGATATACACGGAGAAGAGAGTCGGCCCAAGAATTGAACCCTGTGGCACCCCCATAGAGACTGCCATAGGTCCAGACAACAGGCCCTCCGATTTGACACATTGAACTCTGAGAAGTAGTTGGTGAACCAGGCGAGGCAGTCATTTCAGAAACCAAGGCTATTTAGTCTGCCAATAAGAATGTGGTGGTTGACAGAGTCGAAAGCCTTGGCCAGGTCGATGAAGACGGCTGCACAGTACGGTCTATTATCGATCGCAGTTAAAATATCGTTTAGGACCTTGAGCGTGGCTGAAGTGCACCCATGACCAGCTCGGAAACCGGATTGCATAGCGGAGAAGGTACGGTGGGATTCGAAATGGTCGGTGATCTGTTTGTTAACTTGGCTTTCAAATACTTTCGAAAGGCAGGGCAGGATGGATATAGGTCTTTAACAGTTTGGATCTAGAGTGTCACCCCCTTTGAAGAGGGGGATGACCGCGGCAGCTTTCCAATCTCTGGGGATCTCAGACGTTACGAAAGAGAGGTTGAACAGGCTAGTAATAGGGATTGCGACAATTTCGGAGGCTAGTTTTAGAAAGAAAGGGTCCAGATTGTCTAGCCCAGATGATTTGTAGGGGTCCAGATTTTGCAGCTCTTTCAGAACATCAGCTGTCTGAATTTGTGTGAAGGAGAAGCGGGGGGGGGGGGCATGGGCAAGTTGCAGCGGAGGGTGCAGAGCTGGTGGCCGGGGTAGTGGTAGCCATAATGATGACCATAGAGCGCAATAGTAATGGCATAATGATGACCATAGAGCGCAATAGTAATGGCATAATGATGACCATAGAGCGCAATAGTAATGGCATAATGATGACCATAGAGCGCAATAGTAATGGCATAATGATGACCATAGAGCGCAATAGTAATGGCATAATGATGACCATAGAGCACAATAGTAATGGCATAATGACCATAGAGCGCAATAGTAATGGCATAATGATGACCATAGAGCGCAACAGTAATGGAGTCTTTCTGTAGGCACCAACTCCGCCATGGTTCATTGGCAAAGCATATGGGTAAATAAATGGAGTTTTTGGATAAAAGCCGCACAGGCTTAGGAGATCTTATTAGTTTTGTTCTTTGAGAATCTTCAACTGTCACTGTGTGAATTTTGAAGCATTTGCGTAATAAAAAAAAGCACAAAGGCTTCATAATTTATAAAGGTCATTTTAACTGACTAATATCTCAGAACAAAATGTATAAGATCTCCCAAGCCCGTGTTAACCTCAGACCTTATTTTTCAGGGTTTATCCCAAACCATATTCTTCCCTCATTCATTTTCCCCATAGGAATGGCTGATCGAACCAGAGGTAACTCATTTCCGGGTTTTAGGACTACAAGCTGGCGAGCTCTATTGCCAAAGGAATAGGAAACATTCGTTAAAAATATCCACCTTCCTTAAACTTGGCAGGTGAAAAAGGCCAATACTAAGAACAAAAGACAACATCTACCGAACCAGGAACAACACCACTCTAAACAAGTTCAGACAAGATTCCCATGGTGAAAACTAAAACGATTAATTAAAAAACTAAAAACAGGCAGTGTGAGAAAATAAATATGCAACATAAATATGCACGTGCATAAAAAGACATGGGAAGATTCTACAATCTTGTAAAGTCTGAATGACTAGATAAGCGCTCTAAGCTCAGGCCAGAGCACTCATCCAACACCTGGGTGTGAATCTGAATACTGCCTGTCGGATTGTGTTTGTAGTGGTAGCATATAGAACAGGGCCATCTTATCCAGTCAACTTGAGGCACATTTGCATTTTGGGGCCTTTGTTCATGACAGATCAAACACTGTCAATAGAACACCCTTCACAAATAAAGTTGACAAATTCAGGTCAGACTAAGGATTGGGAGTACTGTGTGTGGGCAGATGTTCAGATGAAGTTATGAATTTGTGCCACAGACAACGTGGGAGAGGACGTGCCTTACATGGTAAGACAGCTCCTCCTAGTGCCCATTCACAACTAAGGTACATTTTGACTGGAACACAGTTTCAACATGGAAGAAAAGGGGGAGCAAGACAAGTTAACAGGCCTAGTCCATCTTCATTCAACCAAACTCCTACAAGAAGCAACAGTAGCTCAATGATTTCCAATCTTCTCTCTAGTTGACACATACAACACAAGCACTTCAGAGTCAAACAAGAGTTGACAGCCAAATAAACTTAATTCGTTCAAATTACTACCATGCATTGCCATCAAGGCATGTTTTGAAAGGTGAGGCTTAAAAATAAGTGACTCAGTAACAAGGTGCTATGCCCCACAGCAAGCTACTGGTTCAGACACCAAAAAACTAAACAGATTGCTGATTGTCAGATCATGAGAATAATATTGTATTTACAACCAAGTAGGATACAGATGCAAGATTAAAGTTTGATTCTACTGAGGCCAAAATAACTATTAGTTAGGGATTGTAGTAGGGATGTAGGCTATAGGTCTTACTAGCTATGAAATAATCAAATTTCAACAAATTCTATCATAGTATTGGGGCAAGCACTTGCAGAACGTGCACTGATGTTTACAAATACATTGTAATAGGTTGAGGGTACATCATTATAGCTTTTCATGTAGATCTTAAATCCAATATATCAGCACAAATTAAGGAATAAGTAGGTCTTCTTGTACAGTGCATTCGGAAAGTAACTAAACCCCTTGACTTTTTCCACATTTTGTTACGTTACAGCCTTATTCTAAAATTGATTTAATCTACACACAATACCACATAATGACAAAGCAAAGACAGGTTTAGAAATGTTTGCAAATGTATTAAAAATAAAAAACTGAAATATCACATTTACATAAGTATTCAGACCCTTTACTCAGTACTTTGTTGAAGCACCTTTGGCAGCGATTACAGCCCTGAGTCTTCTCGGGTATGATGCTACAAGCTTGGCACACCTGTATTTGGGGAGTTTCTCCCATTCTTCCCTGCAGATCCTCTCAAGCTCTGTCAGGTTGGATGGAAAGCATCACTGCACAGCTATTTTCAGGTCTCCCCAGAGATGTTAGATTGGGTTCAAGTCTGGGCTCTGGCTGGGCCACTCAAGGACATTCAGAGACTTGTCCCGAAGCCACTCCAGCGTTGTCTTGGCTGTGTGCTTAGGGTCGTTGTCCTGTTGGAAGGTGAACCTTCGCACCAGTCTGAGGTCCTGAGCGCTCTGGAGCAGGTTTTCATCAAGGATCTCTTTCTTTGCTCCATTCGTCTTTACCTCGATCCGGACTAGTCTCCCAATCCCTGCCGCTGAAAAACATCCACAGCATGATGCTGCCACTACCATGCTTCACTGTAGGGATAGTGCCAGGTTTCATGGTCAGTCCTTTACGTGCCTTTTGGCAAACAATAAGCGGGCTGTCATGTGCCTTTTACTGAGGAGTGGCTTCCGTCTGGCCACTACCATAAAGGCCTGATTGGTGGAGTCCTGCAGAGATGGTTGTCCTTCTGGAAGGTTCTCCCATCTCCACAGAGTTACTCTGGAGCTCTGTCAGAGTGACCATCGGGTTCTTGGTCACCTCCCTGACCAAGGCCTTTCTCCCCTGATTGCTCAGTTTGGCCAGGAGGCAAGCTCTCGGAAGAGTCTGGGTGGTTCCAAACTTCTCCATTTAAGAATGATGGAGGCCACTATGTTCTTGGAGACCTTCAATGCTGCATACATTTTTTAGTACCCTTCCCCAGATCTGTGACTCGACACAATCCTGTCTCTGAGCTCTATGGACAATTCCTTCGACCTCATGGCTTGGTTTTTGCTCTGACATGCACTGTCAACTGTAGAACCTTATATAGACAGGCGTGTCCCTTCCCAAATCATGTCCAAGCAATTGAATTTACCACAGGTGGATTCCAAGTTATAAACTTTTTATGGATGATCAATGGAAACAGGATGCACCTGAGCTCAATTTCGAGTCTCATAGCAAAGGGTCTGAATACTTACGCAAATATGGTATGTTTATTTTGTTATATATTTGCTAAAATTTCTAAAAACCTGTTTTCACTTTGTCATTATGGGGTATTGTGTGTAGATTGATGAGGGAAACAAATATTTTAATCAATTTTAGAATAAGGCTGTAACGTAAGAAAATGTGGAAAAAGGGAGGTGGTCTGAATATTTTCTGAATGCACTGTATACAGGGAAAACTCTTAACACCCCGAGTCTCCATTGGACCCCTGTATTCCATGTTTTAACAAGGTAGCAGGTCTTGTGCGCCTTGACATAGGCTGTTCTGACCAACGCTACAATATGGATAGCCTACGCTACTATACGAGGAGCCACTACAAGATGGTGAGAACCAACTATAGGGTACTGTAATAAAAAGGCCCCCCCATTTCAAAATAGTTGCGAGCAGGGCATTTTTCTGAGACCAGGAAAGGTAGTTCTGAGATGTGCCACATTAGAAAATGGGGTCAATGCACTGTTCTAACAACTTCATATCCGAATTAAGAGCGATGGCTTCTTAGCATGTCAAAAACCCACCCCCTATCTGAAATTAGAAACTGATCCACACAAGACTCATCAGGAAAGATGATTAGTCTGTCAAAAGCTGTCGGATGTTGAGGCAGCCAACCATGCTGTCCCAAGGCCTAGAAGTGGAGTCCTTCTTGTCCATAGGAAATACATTGTCATGTGAGAAGTAAACACATTCTCCTGAATTGACATGACTTGTTTGATATTGTTCAGGTAGAGAATCTTTCAGAAAAACAATGTTTATTTAGCAGCAAGGGGAAGCGCGTAGCTTGTGAAACCTCAAAAATGTCATTCATACTTGTTAAATACCACTGCTGGGTTTTTACTTGTTTTAGGTAGACCTCAGTAGCCATGTGGGTCAGGCCATGGCAACAAAGCTATCAAATCAATGAATTCAGTCATTTAAAAAATATCCAACTGACATGTGGTAGTAACATATGTATTGCCACAATAACTTGTACAAGAAGTCTGGCAGGGTGTTCCTTAAATACCTCACTTCATTGGTTTACAACTAGCTAATGTAAATGTACCTTTTTATGAACAGTAGCTATCCATAATAAATTCGGATAAGACTGTACCAGAATGCTGTTTAAGCTAAATTGGGCTATCACGGATGATTGTCCTCCTTTCAGCACTGTGAATCATGTCTGATCCAAACGCTCCTGCGTGTTTCGCCTCCATATCACCGCCATCTGCACTTCAGCTTTGTTTTCTACAGTCAGAACGCTAGACAGAAAAAAGAAAATGGCGCAGAGACTAAGTCCTCAACCCCCAAACCCTTACTTTCAGACCCGGAATGTGGCATTTTAAGAAGGCCAACAACAAAATCTAATTTGACATACCAATAAAACACATCCAGTTCTTTATGAATCTGTGCTCAGATCGAGATTATAAAATGTCTAAAAACTATTAAAGAGCCATCCATTTGAACAATAGGCGCTTGTGAGTGAGGCTGAGGACTTAGTCTCTGGACGCCATTTCTGTCCTTTGCTAAACTATCTGTCTGGCTAGCGAACTAGCACATGCTAACGAGCTAGTAAATAGAGTCAGAAAACTTTAATGTCCTCAAGAGGCCATTCATTTTGCAATAGTCAAAGTACATACAGGCAAGATCACATATTAAAATGTATAACGGATCGCTAGCTAACTGTGCCGAGTCTGCGGACAGGTCAGAATTCGAAGGAGAAAAATCATTGTGACATTTCAGTTTGACACATTACACTTACCATTGACCCGAGAGCTGGAGTCGATCTGCAAATTTTAAAACAAAAATTGGTTAGGTATCTCAGTTGATGGCTTGCTAGCTAGATATTTCACTTTGAACTTTCTGTCTAACAACAGCTACCTAGCGTAACGTTAGCTATCTAGCAACCCTGATGGCTGGCCAGTGACTGGTCTTAAATGGCTTTCAACAGCAATTAGCTAGCCTAGCAAGCTAACGCACAGTGTGCCTTAGCTAGCTAAAGTTAGTTTACAATTGTGTGGACATATAACGTTGACTACATTTCACTCTGAAAATCACACCACACGATTAAAAGTATGACAACACGTAACTATTACTGTCACATTTATTGCAGCCAATTATATTCAGTCGATTAGCTAGCTAACGTTAGCTAGCCAAGTTAGTGTAGCTGAGGCAAATACAACAGCAAGCGAGTTTAATGTCCTACAAAGCTGACAGTGCTAAATATTCCAACTGTTACCTGGCTAACATTGTGAGAATAATCCCCACTCATTTTCCAATTCTTGATCTGTTAAAAACAATGTGTGAAACCTATTGGAGGAAAACGCCGGCGAGGTGATACGGGCAGTATGAAGAAAGAAACAGTTGTGCAAAAGATTTAAGTCCGACTTCTATGAAAGTGCGCATGCCCATGTCTTTTTAAATGGGTGGGGAAAATGCGTTGGCCAATTGTAGCCCCTCCCTCTAACCGTGCTCTTCCGCCCATGTCGTTTCGTATTTGGTTTCAACAGAACATGCATTCCGGTAGGCATACTACTGTAACCAGCTAGAAGAAAGAGGCCACACAGCACCAAACAGCACACGTCAAAGGGCCATATTATCAGATAGAGGTTCCTTTGTGCATTAAAACAGAATACCGTAAAACTTCAATTAATACCCCAGGATTTATTTGCTTCATTCCAGTGGTGTAAACTACTAAAGTAGTTTTTTTGGGGTATCTGTACTTTAACTTACTATTTCTATTTTTGACAACTTTTACTTTTACTCCACTACAATTCCTACAGAAAGTATGTACCTTTACTCCCATACATTTTCCCTGACACCAAAAAGTACTTGTTACATTTTGAATGCTCTGGCCTTTTAGCCACTAGAGGCCTCTATCATTTGGTCATGGCTCACATCAACACCATCATCACGGAAACCCTAGACCCACTCCAAATCGCATACCGCCCCAACAGATCCACAGATGACGCAATCTCAATCGCACTCCACACTGCCCTTTCCCACCTGGACAAAAGGAACACCTATGTGAGAATGCTGTTCATTGACTACAGCGCAGCGTTCAACAGCATAGTGCCCACAAAGCTCATCACTAAGCTAAGGACCCTGGGACTAAACACCTCCCTCTGCAACTGGATCCTGGACTTCCTGAACGGCCGCCCCCAGGTGGTAACGTTAGGCAACAACACATCTGCCACGCTGATCCTCAACACGGGGGCCCCTCAGGGGTGTGTGCTTAGTCCCCTCCTGTACTCCCTGTTCACCCACGACTGCGTGGCCAGGCACGACTCCAACACCATCATTAAGTTTGCTGACAACACAACAGAGGTAGGCCTGATCACCGACAACAATGAGACAGCCTATAGGGAGGAGGTCAGAGACCTGGCAGTGTGGTGCCAGGACAACAACCTCTCCCTCAACGTGAGCAAGACAAAGGAACTGATCGTGGACTACAGGAAAAGGAGGGCCGAATACACCCCCTATCACATCGACGGGGCTGTAGTGGAGCAGGTTGAGAGTTTCAAGTTCCTTGGTGTCCACATCACCAACAAACTATCATGGTCCAAACACACCAAGACAGTTGTGAAAAGGGCACGACAACACCTTTTCCCCCTCAGAAGAATGAAAAGATTTGGCATGGGTCCCCAGATCCTCAAAAAGTTATACAGCTGCATCATTGAGAGCATCCTGACCGGTTACATCACCGCCTCGTATGGCAACTACTCTGCATCCGACCCTAAGGTGCTACAGAGGGTAGTGCGTACAGCCCAGTACATCACTGGGGCCAAGCTTCCTGCCATCCAGGACCTATATACTAGGCAGTGTCAGAGGAAGGCCCAAAAAATGGTCAAAGACTCCAGTCACCCAAGTCATAGGCTGTTCTCTCTGCTACCACACGGCAAGCAGTACCTGAGCGCCAAGTCTAGGTCCAAAAGACTCCTTAACAGCTTCTACCCCCAAGCCATAAGACTGCTGAACAATTAATCAAATGGCCACTCGGACTATTTGCATTGATACCCCCCCTTTGTTTTTACACTGCTGCTACTTGCTGTTTATTATCTATGAATAGTCACTTTACTCCTACCTACATGTACAAATTACCTCGACTAACCTGTACCCCCACACATTGACTCGGTACCGGTACCCCCTGTATATAGCCTCGTTATTGTTATTTTATTGTGTTACTTTGTATTACATTTTTTTACTTTCGTTTATTTAGTAAATATTTTCTTAACTCTATTTCTTGAACTGCATTGTTGGTTAAGGGCTCGTTAGTAAGCATTTCACTGTAAGGTCTACACCTGTTTTATTCGGCGCATGTGACAAATACAATTTGATTTGATTTGATTTGGACAGAAAAATAGACCAATTCACACACCTATCAATACAATGCATTGTGATCCCTACTGCCTCTGATCTGGTGGACTCACTAAACACAAATACTGCTTTTGATTAGATTATAAGTTTAATAGTCATATGTACAGGGTTGCAGATGTAATTGCAGGGTAGGCTACAGTGAACATCTTAAGTTCGAGCTCCAACAATGCAGGACAAATTGAAATTAAAAACTATAAAAACTATAAATAAATATCAATAAAATATGTAAATGATGTCTGAGTATTTGAGTGCGCCCCTGTCTGTCTGTAAATAAAAAAAGAGGACGAACATCTTGCTGTCTGGTTTGCTTAATATAAGGAATTTGATGTATAGCATTTACTTTTTACAATTGAGTACTTTTTCCACCACTGTACTTAAGTACATTTAAAACCAGATACTTTTATACTTTTACTTAAGTAGTATTTTACTGGGTGACTTTTACTTTTACTTGAGTCATTTTCTATTAAGGTATCTTTACTTTTACTCAAGTATGACAATTGAGTACTTTTACACCACTGCTTCAATCACTGAACACAACCAGCGCTTATTAGAGACAAGCTTATTTGAGCCTTAATGCACACAGCTTTTTCTCAATAAAAATTTGAAAAGACTACCACACTGTTTGTGACCAGTATAAACATTAAAATAACAAATCCATCGCAGATCAGACTTGCAAAGAATAGGCTGTCAATCATATACCCCCAATTTCGCGCTTCAGCACCATGGAGAGCAGTACCGGTTGGCGATGTTATGTTTTCTTTTTTTGTGCTGCCATGGATAGCAACACTGACAGAATAAAAAAATATATTTTGCATGAACATGACTGTGGGAATATCAGAGCTGTGTTCATGGTAACCTTGTAAACAATTCATTTAGACCCCGCATTTATTTGAAACAGGCGTTTATTTGCTGAAATATGTGCCGTTGCCTGGCTATTAAAAGGGACAGGTGGCTATTTACATTTACATTTTAGTCATTTAGCAGACGCTCTTAATTGAAGTTTTATGGTAGGTAAATTCATTACTTATGTAAAATAGCTGTAACATATTTTTCTTTAGGAGTGCCAATTTGAGATGCAGGAGCAACTATGTGGAGCCCATAGGAGATGGGATAGTGATTTGATTAATCATTTGACGCTGTTCCATGATGAGCTTCTGGCCCATAGAGATATATAGAGGACTCATCTTTGTATCTGTGCCATTATAGCGTCTGTGACAGCATGGGCAGCGCCATTGAGGCTATCTCTATTTTAAAGTAGTCAATTTTCTTCTTCGCGATTAGCTGATACCTCCTGATGACCCGGTGGGACATGAATCCAATCATCAGGAGGGATCAGCCAATGAAGTTGGAAGTCCCACCCAGTCGACTATATTAAAATGGTGGAAGCACTCAAACAGCCTTTTAGCCACTAGAGGCCTCTATCATTCTCTATGTAATGGCCCCTGTGGAAATACTGCAGTCCACCACTGAGAAAATGTCCATAGGATATAACTGTAATGACTGCATGCACTAAACTGGAGCATGCAGTTACCAGGAGCAATCAAATAGAATTAAACTGGTAGGTCTGCTGGAGAACTGTAGTGCATCTAAAACACATGTCCAAAGTGCACCACTGAGTTAGTATGTCAATAATATAAGCCAATTTTTTTGGATTGAACATTTCATAGTGTGTTGATATACTGCACTCTATTGTCCATCAGGAATATTGAAGTAGGCCCCTTGCTTGCATCCCATTTAGTCCTCTTCCAGGGCTCATAGTTTTGGCTTGCAAAGTTGAGGATGTCTTGTAAGATAAGGCTGAATGAATGTGGGATATTGGAATGTATTACTGTATTTGCACTATGGTCAAGGTAATACTGCACTGGAGCACGTTGTGAAAAGAGGCATTTTAGTGGTGCATGTACATATAATGTGGATCATACACACTTTTGTGGAGACAGGTCGTCAGCGGATCATTCATACTTGGGGGAAACATAGGTGTTTCTGCTATATTTCCCCTCAGTTCTCAGAGTGACCAGTAGAGCATTCTGCTCTGTGTGTGGATAATTTTACCCTCTCAGTTCGGCTAAATGTCATTAGGATTATCAAGGTTGATAATAATAATAATAACAACAATTATAATTAGGTGGATGCTTATATTGGTTGATTGAGGAACATGAGGTACCAGCAACTCCTCCTCTCAATAGAGAGCACATTATTTTGTTCAAATCTTCTAATTTTTTAGAAAGTATGTTCAGACATGCTTTACCAGGGTGAAAATTAAAACGCTGAATGGCTTACTCTCATGTTTTTATTCATTCAGTTTCAGTAGTATGGAATTATTTAAAAAGCAACACACACACAAACATCAAGATCAAGGCACACAAACGTTAAGATCAACATTGGAAGTTACCTGTCCAAAGGTCATTGTACATTTGAAAGAACAATCACTTCCAAACATAACTACTTTTTTCACTGTGTGAGAAGTTGAATCCTCTTGATATACATTTTCTCCACAAGAGTGCACCTCAACTTCCCTGGCCTCATCAGAAGTAATGCCCATGCCAGAATTCAGGCATAACCAGTGCTTGACTTGGCCAGGAGCTCACTCACTTGAGCTGAGTACAGGCACTTCACATCTTCTACTGCTTGAGCTCCTGTTCCTCTTATAGAATATTAGCTTAAAAGTGTTGTGGAGCTCCTGCACCTGAATATGTATACCTGTATAAACAGTACCAGCACCCAAAATGAGTACCGGAACCTATTTCAGTCCAAGTCAAGCACTGGGCATAACCAGTAAGCAGCTTTATTAATCAACAGCCACCCCTCTACCTGCCTCTAGGCAAAGCCAAGATTTTTGAATTCATCAAGTGTTGAATAGGATACTTGGTTTTCAATTGACCTGAGAAGGAAATCTGGCTACTTTAAATAATTAACTGTATTAGAGTAAAACTTTTATATGACATAAAAAGGAAAAAGGAACAGGATGTGAAATGCTGTCACATTGACATAAAACTATGGTAAAAATTAGAAAATGGACTGT